AAACCATCCAGAATCGTGTTTTAACACTACCTTCTCTCACTCTCTCTCTAAGTTTTGTTTTAACTTCCTCTCACTAGATATTATAGCCAAATGCTTTTGTGAGGAAAGTCTCTTTGTGAGTGAGGTTACTTGTGTAGTTCTGGAAAGGGTAGAATTGTAAAAACTCACCAAGGATAACATTTATATATACCTTGGTTGAATACTGTCCAATTAGGAATTATTTCTGATTAGAAGCTAAACCCGATAAAAGCTTAGGTTAGGGATTGTGTGATCGGTCCTAGGTTGAAGATTAGCCGTTATTAAAATCTTCCTTGGTTCTTGGTTAGCTTGGTTAAAAACAAGATAGGTGGAAGATTAGAATGATATTAAAATCTTCATAGGTTAAAAGATCATACTGGTTAAAATCTCAGAGGTTGTTTGGTTATCCTACTAAACCAAAAGAATTGAGCTCAAATATTTTGGAACTTGAAAACTAACCGCTCCAAGGTTCGTGTTCATGGAAAGGAGATTAACCCCTTCAGTCCACCGTTAGGAAGGAAGATTGGCCACTTCACTCTTAGCATTATATTGAAGAAAAGACGCAAACGCCCATATCTATCGTCTTGTAATATTTTGTTGAAGGTCAACCATAATTTCCTTGTATAAGGGGGTTCAGGAGCCTTTCATACTAGAAGCTGTCAAATATTATTGGAAACTCTCAAGACCAAGTCTTGGGGAGACGAGTAGGTCCTTTTGATTTTACGGAACAACTATAATTCTCTGTGTTCTTCTTCTTCCCTTAACTATTTATTTTCTGCTATTTATTTTCCGCTGCTCAAACTTTTAAAATGTTTTTAAACTTTAATTTAACTTGCCAAAAGTTTTCTAAACCATGTTTTCTAAACCACACAATTAACCCCCTCTTGTCTATGAAGTCTCAAGTCCAACAAATATAATTTGGGCTCATAAAAATTGAATGTCTGGATAATGATGTTGTTCTGATATGATTCATGGAGGATTTTGGAGATGCATCTCCAAAATAGTTTTCCTTTGCATTTACAAACGCTTTCAAAAACTTTCAAGATACATTTAGGAGATGCATCTCTGAATACACCAAATTCCATACGAAGATACATCTCCGGATCGTATTTTTTTCATAATGAGATGAATATCAGAATAACGGATTTTGGTTGTGATTTGGGTGCATCCAGATATACATCTCTAAACGCATAAAGGGTAATTTTAGATTTTCAAAGATGTGGTATACTTATATAAGAGTCTAATGAGAAATTCTTAACTTTTTTTTGGACAAAAGTGGTTATTTTACATTTTGGATACCATTAATCTGGATAATGGATATTTGTAATAATTATTTATTTAAATATCTATTTCACAATGCAAACAACTTTTTTTGAGTGTTTGGATGGTAGAAGTGACTTCTTCCAATAATTTTAAAACTAGGATAGACTAACTAGTTTGATAAGTTAAATTAAAAATTGGATCTTGTTTTGTCAACCACTAATCTGCTCAAACAAAGGAAAAACCAAGTAAATTGGATAGGATTGAAATCAATCAGACGATTAACAAAACCAAGGTAGATTTTAAAAATTGAGCGGCCTAGGATTTTCCCTGCTCCATAACACATTCCCATTGACTTGTAAATTTTAGCCTCCTTCGATGAAGAACATACAAATATATTATAGAAATTATTGAAAATCAAGTGTGAGGAAGAAGTACCACATTGATTAGAAAAAGAGAAGATTGAGAACTTTATAAGTGAGAGAACTCACACACCTATCACCTTAAGGTTTTGGATGAATATGTGGTGTCTCTCTCACTTGTGTGTTGCTCTTACCCCAATGTTAAATGCTCTCTCATGTTAACCCCCCACGCCCCTCTAATAGCTTTCAAAAGTGGTATCATGAGATTTTGGTTTCTAGTGAAGGGATAAGATTACTTGTATCAAAATTACTCCCCACAAGTGGTGGATATGAGGTGTCCCGTTAAAGAGTGTTAACGACGATGCAAGTGTATGTGGAAAAAAGAGCTTCCACTTGAGGTGGAGCATTAAACTCTCACTTGAGGGTGAGTATTGAGAATCAAGTATGAGGAAGAAGTCCCACATTGATTAGGAAAGGGAAGGTTGAGCACTTTATAAGTGAGAAAATCCATACACCTATCACCTTAAGATTTTGGGTGAATATATGGTGTCTCTCTCACTTGTGTGTTGCTCTTGGCCCAATGTTAAATACTCTCTCGTGTTGATCCCCCCAAATTGGTTATAGCTGATAGTTGATAGGTTGTAGATGATGACTGATAGTTGATACCTAGTGATTGGTAGCCTATAGCTGATGACTGATAACTGATAAATTAATTTAAGTGTCTGATAAATTAGCCGTTACACTAGCTAGTAAATATAAAATAACATAAAAGACATTCTTAATTTAGAAATGAGTGATTTCATTATCTTATTAAATTAATTTTTCTCGAAAAAAAATTAAAAGTATTAATAAAAATATGGAAACAAATTTTAATATTTCAAAAAATTGAAGATATCATCAAAATATATTAAATTTGTATATGAATTTTATAATAAAATTTAACGAGAAACATGAAATAATAACAATGTTGTATTAAATTATATTAATCTAAAATGATAATAAAAATAAGTTTATTGTTAAATATTCTACAATAAAACTGCAATAATATTTTGAATTATCTCCGTCTTGGTTGATCTCATTGATTCTCATCCGACGTTTCACTAACTTGAGAATTATCTACACTATTTAAAAATTTATTATATGATTTAGATGTTATTTTATATATATATATATATATATATATATATATATATATATATATATATATATATATATATATATATATATATATATATATATATATATATATAAGGGTAAAGTAGGTTTTTTTTTTAAATAATTAGGGTATAAATGGAAGAAAAAGTCACAAGTTAAAAGCTACAAGCTCAAAAGCTACTTCAAATAGATTTTAAGAAAAAGCTAAAAGCTAGTAAAGAAAGCTACAAGCTAAAAGATAGTTATCAAACAAGGCATTTTCATTAATGTGAGCTGAAAAATAAAAAGCTAAAAGCTCTTTTTTGTGTCTTACCAAATAAACTCTAAGATGTGTGGTATAAGAGGACCTTATTAATTTAAGAGTAACAATTTAAAAGTATTGGGCTTTTTCTTTTATTTGTATTGAGCCAAATGTGTGTTATATTTTTGAAATCACTCTTCACACCAGCCACTCTTATAAAATTTGAAAATACCCTTGGTGTGTGAAAGTTAAATTTCAGATGCCTCTAATATACACCAAAACACTACGTAAGTGAGTCACTATCATTTTGTCAAAAAATAGTCTGGAAGCCAATCCCCAGATGTATGAAGGTTGAGTCTAGGTTAAGTTTCAGCCTTACCTCTAGACACATTTTGAATTCATGATAATATGTTTATTTCACAGCTCAGTGGATAATCCAGAAGTTAACTTTCGTACTAACCCTCAAGATAATAGGTTTCTCTTATGTGCAGTAAGTTTGTTATAAATTTGACAGTAAGTTTCTTTCCTAGGTAGGTTGGACTTTTGACGCAACAGTAGGGGACACATGCCTCCAAGAAGACGATGTCGGAGATATTTGAACTCGGAAAGATGATGCTTATGCATCAAATGAAGTGAAACCAATATTTGGATGCAAGGGTCTAACTTTTTTCTTCTAAATAGAAGCATGTCAAACCACTCTACTATGTCTCAATCTTTCTTGGTTGTCAGCCATTTTACCTTTAATAAAATCCAAAAAATCATATAATAATCAAATAAGTCAAACCCAATGGACAAAATAGACAAAATCAAATAAACTATACATATCAGGAAACTTTAAAAGTTAACTTCCATACTAGACGAAACTATAAAAAAAAACATATGCCCTAAGCTTTAAATTTGGGTGCGTTAAAAAATTAAGTTCCAAATTTTAGAAGCATTATTAATTTTTCAACCTCAGTGAGTGAGTAATGCATGGGCGAGAAGAAAATACCCTATATTTGGAATTGCGTGGGTTTTAATATTTTGATATAAAATATTAAATTAATTATTTTTCTATAGCAAAAAGTTTGATATAAGTAAATTAATCTAATTAATCTAACTTACCAAACAAATAAAATTATACCTATCCTTTTTATATCTTAGACTTTTAATTAAAATAAAATAAACTAACTATTAAATTTAGTCAAAGTAAATAAACTAATAACTATACTAAAAAAGTTGGATTAATTGAGCCGAAAGAGTGTGTAAATTAGAAAGTTGTTGATAGCATGGGCCTGAATTCAGATATTGAATTCGGACACAAAAGATAGGGAGAGATTTAGTAACATCTTTGTAAAATATTAAATTGATCAACGTGAAAAATATATGATTATGCACAAACTAAACAAATAATTAATCTAAGCAATAATAAAAACATATCTTATATTCTAAAACTTTATAGTATTAATCTAATTAGAAATAAATTAAATTAACCTAAACATGTGTAATTAAAAAAATATAATTAATCTAACTTAAAGGTAAATTACTAAGGGGTGTTAAGTTATGATTAAGATTAGTAAGAGTGACCCAAAATTCATTACATTAAAAAACTTGATATAATCTCTGAATAAAAATTAACAGGACATTAGTCATCACTTCAACACACCTAGGGTAGCGCCTCTTTTCACTTCAGTATGAGAAACAAAAAGAGAAACAAAATAATAAAGCCAAAAGAATTGACTTTTCCACCAAATCAATTATTCAATCGGAATTTGACAAGTGGCAAGAAGAAAAGGCAAAAATGAAATTAGAGATAAACTGGATCAGTACATCAGAATGGATCTACCATCCCTCTTATTTCACTTTCTCTCTCGTTCTCTTTTCTCTTTTTCAAAGAAAAAAACCCAACAACACTAACATCAACCTTTCTCCAATGATCTTGTTTCTTTCATAATTTTAGCAACAAAAAACATATTGATGCCTCCTTAAACATGAATCGTATGAAAATAAGTGTAAAGAGGAAACTGAGTGGTGGAGATCTGATATGGATATACGGTGAACCGCTGCTTCAAGTTCGCCAGCAATCTGTCAAAGGTGGTGGTGGTCGTGTCGGACGCGGTTTGCAATTCGAAGGTTTTTGAGCGGCACCACTGATAGGAGTCAGTGGTCAGCGGAGTTCTTATGGCATAAGATTTTTTCCCGATTCTTTGCTGTTCTTTGAACTGGTTTTTTTGTGATAAACTTTGATTCTTGTTCTTTGTATCTGTCTCGCATTTCTTTGTTGTTACAGTTTGTGTAAAGTGCATCGCGAATCTATAGAGTCAGATGTTGTTGTCGAAGAGCAAGACACGGAGGCATATGAAGGAACTTTATGTTTATCGGTTCTACTTCTTTTTTCTTCCTTTCTGCAAACACAACAAGAAAAAGACAAATAATGATTGTAGTGTTTATTGAATTTAATTTATATTAATTAATTGTGATAATAATGAATTAGTAATAGGTTAATAAGTTAATGGAAGTTTGGAAGATTGTGATTGAATTTCTTTGTTAGTGTTTCTTCTTTTGTTGAACCTGCAGATTGTTAGAATAACATACAAGATATTTTGACATGTTATACGTGGTTTGGAAATTTCTACTATTGTGTTATGAGTGTAAATGTGTAATTGTGTTGTTACTGGATTATAGTGGTGAAGGTAAATTAATGATTTTCCAGAGTGTGTTAGACAAAAGCTACATGTACAAATTGCTTTCATGTAATAAAATCATGGGCAAAGTGTATTCTAATTTCTATATAAAATATGTATAAAGTGTGTGATAAAATTAGAATAAGTAAAATTGTTAGCAGACAAAATATATATAAATTGTGGAATGATAATGTATGTATAACAATGGGTTATATGTAAAAAAGCATCCAAACTATAATATAAAAGAAAACCCTCAGTTTATACATTATGTGGTTAAAAATTAAAACCAAAAAAACATGTATTGTGAAATTGTAAAAGTGTTTGTTCAATCATTCAATTGAAAAACAAATAACTTATAATTAGGGAGGAGGCCTCATATGAAATCATCGACATAAAATAAATATCGGAGTTACAAAATTGTGTGTAGTGATATTGTGAGAGGTTCTGGATGAATTGTGTATATTGTGGATGATCTAGAAGTATGAAAAACATGTCCTATTTATAGATAAAAAAAAATCCAAATTAGAAATAAAATAAAATTGACCAATCAAAAACAAAGTGTGACATAAATTGACATCAAATGACCAATAAGTAGCACCTATTTAAAAAGGAAAGAAAATTAGGGACAAAAAATAGAAAAAAACTGGATCAGTACATCAGAATGGATCTACCATCCCTCTTATTTCACTTTCTCTCTCATTCTCTTTTCTCTTTTTCAAAGAAAAAAACCCAACAACACTAACATCAACCTTTCTCCAATGATCTTGTTTCTTTCATAATTTTAGCAACAAAAAACATATTGACGCCTCCTTAAACATGAATCGTATGAAAATAAGTGTAAAGAGGAAACTGAGTGGTGGAGATCTGATGTGGATATATGGTGAACCGCTGCTTCAAGCTTCGCCAGCGACCTGTCAAAGGTGGTGGTGGTCGTGTCGGACGCGGTTTTTAATTCGAAGGTTTTTGAGCAGCACTGCTGATAGGAGTCAGTGGTCAGCGAAGTTCTTACGGCGTAAGCTTTTTTCCCGATTCTTTGTTGTTCTTCGAACTGTTTTTTTGTGATAAACTTTGATTCTTGTTCTTTGTATCTGTCTCGCATTTCTTTGTTGTTACAGTTTGTGTAAGGTGTATCGTGAATCTATAGAGTCAAATGTTGTTGTCGAAGAGCAAGACACGGAGGCATATGAAGGAACTTTATGTTTATCGATTCTACTTCTTTTTTCTTCCTTTCTGCAAACACAACAAGCAAAAGACAAATAATGATTGTAGTGTTTATTGAATTTAATTTATATTAATTAATTGTGATAATAATGAATTAGTAATAGGTTAATAAGTTAATGGAAGTTTGGAAGATTGTGATTGAATTTCTTTGTTAGTGTTTCTTCCTCTGTTGAACCTGCAGATTGTTAGAATAACATACAAGATATTTTGACATGTTATATGTGGTTTGGAAATTTCTACTATTGTGTTATGAGTGTAAATGTGTAATTGTGTTGTTACTGGATTATAGTGGTGAAGGTAAATTAATGATTTTCCAGAGTGTGTTAGACAAAAGCTACATGTACAAATTGCTTTCATGTAATAAAATCATGGGCAAAGTGTATTCTAATTTCTATATAAAATATGTATAAAGTGTGTGATAAAATTAGAATAAGTAAAATTGTTAGCAGACAAAATATATATAAATTGTGGAATGATAATGTATGTATAACAATGGGTTATATGTAAAAAAGCATCCAAACTATAATATAAAAGAAAACCCTCAGTTTATACATTATGTGGTTAAAAATTAAAACCAAAAAAACATGTATTGTGAAATTGTAAAAGTGTTCAATCATTCAATTGAAAAACAAATAACTTATAATTAGGGAGGAAGCCTCATATGAAATCATCGACATAAAATAAATATTGGAGTTTTGAAGAAAAAGAGTTTTGAAAAGAAGTTACAAAATTGTGTGTAGTGATATTGTGAGAGGTTCCGGATGAATTGTGTATATTATGGATGATCTAGAAGTATGAAAAACATGTCCTATTTATAGATAAAAAAATATCCAAATTGGAAATAAAATAAAATTGACCAATCAAAAACAAAGTGTGACATAAATTGACATCAAATGACCAATAAGAAGCACCTATTTAAAAAGGAAAGAAAATTAGTGACAAAAAATAGAAAAAAAAAAGAAAATGTTGAAAATGCAGCACAAGAGATTTGAACTTGTGACCTTACACTTGCAAGCCTAATTCTTCACCAATTATACTATGTTGCTCATTTATAAATAAACTTAATTTGAAAGAATATGAAAGGTGTGCAAATATTTGCTATATTTAAAAATATAAATAATTTGAAATGAATCATTATATTTTAAATAGGTTTGGAAGCGAATATTTATAAAAATTAAATAAAATTATAAAAACAAAGTTTAAAATATTTTTGGCTGGACTTGAGAATGAACATCTATAAAAATCAAATAATATTATAAAAATAAAGTTTAAAATATTTTTGACTGAACTTGAGAATGAACATCTATACAAAACAAATAATATTATAAAAATAATGTTTAAAATATTTTTGACTGTAGAAATAAAATGGCGGACAAATTTGGGGTATGACACTCACCATCCCACGCAATCCGTTAGTCTTGATTTATGTCTTCTATATCTTCAGAGGCTTCTGATATGTTTGTTGATGAAGCATGTTGTTGTTGGCTGAAGATTTTGATGATACAGTTCGAAATGAAGCAAAATTGGATGTTTCGTTGGAATAAAGCAAAATGTTATAGTGCGGAATGGTAGAAGCGGTTCTTCGAACGGGCATGTCAAAGCTCGGAGCTTCGAGTGACAGTTGTGAAGATATATTTAAAAGAATCCTCGAAGTGGTAACGAGACTGTGTCTGAGAAATGAGTTCGAAGCGAAGATTTCCAAAGCATTTGAAATTCAAACGCGAGCGGGATGTTGGAATTCAAATATATATGCGCTGGAGCATTCGAAGACACGTGGAAGCTAGAAAGGAGCAGTGCTCTGCATGTTCTGAACGTGGCAGAATCTTATAGGCAAGACCGTTATGGTCAAAGTAGTATAAATAGAAGTCTTAGTATTAGGATTTCGTGTGTCATATCTATTGTACAAAATTCAGTAAACATTCAAAATACCACATGGCTAGGGAAACGAATGCTCGAACAATGTACGTATGATAACACCAAACATTTATGATTCAGTAAAACTCTTTTCCAGTTTACCTTCCATTTTCATGTCGATGTCATTCATATGCCTTTACATTCAAAGTCATTTACTTATTTCTTGCATTTAAACGTTTTCTTCTATTCGAATCCTTTACATTTCAGAAACTCTTTTACATTTCATGCTTTTATATTCATGCTTTTTACATTAAAGTCTTTACATTCAAAGTTATTTACTTATTTCTGCATTTAAACATTTCTTTGCAATCGAATCTTTATTCATACAATTCAGTTTCGTATGTCTTTACTTGATCATGTCATTAGATCCTTTTAATATGGTAATCGAAGTGAGTTGAACGTCTATAAAACATTCCAAATACAAATCCTAACTATGAATATCAGTTTTACAATTAGAGTTATCCAAACGACCAATACCCCATAGGATCAATCTAGTCGATCCTGCAAGTTACCAGAGAGATTAAATAACAGTCATTAAGATTATTTGATAGTTTGGAGGACTAGCGGTTGTTTACCAGAAACCACTGTAAACAAATTGGCACGCCCAGTGGGACCGTCATTGGTCGTTACGAAATTTAGAACAAAGTAAAGATTGTTGGGACATAATCATTGTAAAAATGCTTTCTGAGTGATAAGTTCGTTGTTATATGAACCTTAGAAGTGGTAGAATAACCAATAGCAACCAACCCTTACCCAGAAGAAAACGTAATAACAAGATGTCTAATCCAAACAATCAACAAGGGGAACAAAGTGCCCCACATGGAACAGGCACTAATATGTCTGCTTCGACGGGAACGTCTAATGCGATCCCTTCGAGCGCACAGTCTGTTGCATCCTCTACCAGTAGTGTAGCCACGAATGGAACAAGTGGCATGTCGACTAACAGTTCGATCCTAGGAAATACAGGAACCATTGGTTATCCTGGGGGATTTGTCCCACCATCAGGGACACAAACCCATTTCGCCACCCCACTAACTAGACCACCCGATTTCGATGGTAACAGACACATAAATTCCTCTTATGGGATGCCAACATCTTTTATGGCGGGTCTGCACACTTCGACATCGAATACGTCACCACAATTAGGGTCTGGATCTGGGGCTAATCAATGTATGACAAATAACCAAGGGTCAGTAGGTTATAGTGCATTGCCTATCCTAACCACAGAAAATCAGATGGCTTTTAGGCAATTAATGAATGATAGTAACCATAATATGATAGGAGTGTTATCACAAACTATGCAAGAGATCTTTGCCCCAATAGTACAAAATGTAACAGTGACAAACAGAGAAAACGCGGATAACATGAGTCGAATAGCAGATTTTTTCGCTCCCCCAGAAAGACGTAGGCAGAATCAGGTGGGGGTTCGAGCAAACGTACCTATCATAGAACAAATTGCTGATGACCCACCCTACAGACCAGCCAGAGAGGGGGTTAACTTAGGGGCAAGGGCACAAAGGTTAGAAGCCCCAATGATTCAAGGCCCACAAAGGGAAATTATAGAACCAGGGGCAAGGATCGAAAGGTTAGAAGTCACAAAGTTTCGAGAAGAACAACCTAGAGGAGTTGTCATGGTGGGTCGAAATCAAGATGCTGATGCAGTCGTTCACAGAATTCGAAACGATAACATATTGGCAGAAAATAATTTAACCACCATGATAGAGAGGATCATGGCCCAAAATGGCCTCAATACAGGAATTAGAAGGCCAAATTATGCCTCTCCTATATTAGATTACATAATGCATACTGATTTACCAAGGGGATATAAAGTCCCTAAGTTTACAAAGTTTGCTGGAGATACCAATGAATCAACAGTCGAACACATAGCCAGGTATCTAACCGAAGCAGGAGATATAGCAAATAATGTAGACCTTAGGATCAAATATTTCCCAAGTTCCCTAACTAAGAACGCTTTCACATGGTTCACCACTTTGCCTCCTGGGTCCATAGATACTTGGGCTCTGTTGGAGAGATTATTCCATGAACAGTTCTACATGGGACAATCTAAAATAAGTCTGAAGGAACTAGCCAGTGTCAAGAGGAAGTTTACTGAACCCATAGATGATTATCTGAATAGGTTCAGACTCTTGAAATCTAGATGCTTCACAGTAGTTCCTGAACATGAGTTAGTCGAAATGGCTGCTGGCGGCCTGGATTACTCTATTCGAAAGAAATTAGATACACAATACTTAAGGGACATGGCTCAATTAGCCGATAGGGTTCGACAAGTCGAAAGGCTAAAGGCCGAAAAGGCCCGAGTTTTTAAAAATAACAAGAAAGAAAGGGTCTCCTATGTTGGAGCCGAGGAAGCAGAAGATTACCCTGAATTCGAAGAGGTTGAAATTGATCTCGCTGAATTGAAACAGGCTCCACCTTACTCTTGTAAATTATTAGTTCCCACAAAAGGGAAAGAAATTGTTGAAAATGAGAAAAGTGACAAATTCCCAATGAAGGCTTATACTTTCGATGTAACAAAGTGTGACGAGATTTTTGATTTGCTTGTCAAAGATGGCCAACTCATTGTGCCATCGAATGTCAAAATACCTCCTTTAGATCAAAGGAAGAAAAAAGGATTTTGTAAGTATCATAGTTTCCTAGGCCACAAAACCTCACAGTGTTTTCTTTTCAGGGATCTAATTCAAAATGCAATTAAGGATGGCAGATTGAAATTCGCTGACAAACCAAAAATGAAAGTAGATGAAGATCCTTTGGATGTCGCAGACACCAATTACTCCGAGCCTGCATGCATTGGATAAATCAATATGGTGGAAGCAGATCAAGATGACACTCCATTAGGAGAAAAAGGCACTGAGAATGAAAACTGGGTGTTAGTCGAAGTCAACAAGGGGGTCACTGAGGACGTCCACAAGCAACTAGAGGCTTCGATCGAAGCAGTACCTTTGGCTGTTTCGAAAGAGATCCAGGCTACTGAAGGCCAGGAGAACCAAA